TTCCTGCCTCTACTTTTTCCTTTTTTACAGTCTATTTCACAAAAGCCAGATACATGTAAAGCACAAGTTAGATTCTATGCCTCCTCTGCTTAAAACGTCCTAATGGCATCCCATTAAAATTGGAACAAAACACAAATGCCTTATCACAGACTGCAAAGGTTTGCCTTTCTCCTCAACCTCCCTTGCCTGTTGTTTGATCTCTCCCTCCCATCAGCAACAACTCCAAACTCCACTATCCTCCACCTCTAACTACATTCACATTATGTCGTCCTTATACTTCTGTTCATTCTTCCTGAAATTCATCTCTTAGATCTCTGATTGCCTCTTTTTGATAATTTATGTCCCTATTCAAATGTCACTTCCTTAAGGTAGCCTCTCCTAAACACTCTAAAGTAAAATAGACCACCCCTCTTCCACGTCCTTTTGTATCCCTTAATCCATTTTCATTTTCTTCATAGAATTTACTACTGTCTGATATTATATTAGTTACATATTCATGTCTGTGTTCCTTTTTATTTATTACTGTATCCTTATTATCTTCAGATATGTCTGGCACATAGTTGCTATGCAATAAATACTTGTTCAATGAAAGAATGACTGTTTTCCATTTTGAACTATTTTTGACAACATGACTTTAGTATCATTCCACCTGACCTACATACACTTCCATGGTCCTTTTCTAGTCTGAAGGCGTCAGCAAAATTAGTCTTATTCTACTTCCTCTTATTCATCTCTTCTTTGATTTTTGTCTCAACTCTAGCAGTTATAACTGTGGTTATACTGTGTCTAACTTCTAAAAATAAATTAAAATAACCTCAGTTATCTTTGATGGAAATTTTTTCTTTCCAGAAAACACTATGAAATAAAAAGAAAATTAAGATACTTTCCATGTTTTTTTTTCCTTGCTGTAAATCTTCTGCTTCTTAAGTAATCTCAACATCAAAATGCTTCTCTTATGAAAGGTAAAATCTAGAAAGGGTATTAATGTTAAACCATCTTTCTGAGTTTACAAAGGTGATGACAGAAATATAATGTGCTTTGTTTTTCTTTCAGATCTCCAACTAAAGACATGGATTCAGAAGAGAAGGAAATTGTGGTTTGGGTTTGCCAAGAAGAGAAGATTGTCTGTGGGTTAACTAAACGCACCACCTCTGCCGATGTCATCCAGGCTTTGCTTGAGGAACACGAGACTACATTTGGAGAGAAACGATTTCTTCTGGGGAAGCCCAATGATTACTGTATCATAGAGAAGTGGAGAGGCTCAGAACGGGCTCTTCCCCCGCTAACTAGAATCCTGAAGCTTTGGAAAGCATGGGGAGATGAGCAGCCCAATATGCAGTTTGTTTTGCTTAAAGCAGATGCTTTTCTTCCAGTTCCTTTGTGGCGAACAGCTGAAACCAAATTAGTGCAACACACAGAAAAACTGTGGGAGCTCAGCCCAGCAAATTACATGAAGACATTGCCACCAGATAAACAAAAAAGAATAGTGAGAAAAACTTTCCGAAAACTGGCTAAAATTAAGCAGGACACAGTTTCCCATGATCGAGATAATATGGAGACATTAGTTCATCTGATCATTTCCCAGGACCATACTATTCATCAGCAGGTCAAGAGGATGAAAGAGCTGGATATGGAAATCGAAAAGTGTGAAGCTAAGTTCCACCTTGATCGGGTAGAAAATGATGGAGAAAATTATGTTCAGGATGCATATTTAAGGCCCAGTTTCAGTGAAGTTGAGCAAAAGCTAGACATGCAGTATGAGGAAAGCCAGATTCTGGAGGACCTGAGCGAAAATGACGGAATTGTACAGTTGGAAGAACGACTGAAATATTACCGAATGCTCATTGATAAGCTCTCTGCTGAAATAGAAAAAGAGGTAAAAAGTGTCTGCATTGAAATAAATGAAGATGCAGAAGGGGCAGCTGCCAGTGAACTGGAAAGCTGTAATTTAGAAAGTGTTAAGTGTGATTTGGAGGAAAGCATGAAAGCTGGTTTGAAAATCCACTCTCATTTGAGTGGCATCCAGAAAGAGATTAAGTACAGTGACTCATTGCTTCAGATGAAAGCTAAAGAATATGAACTCCTGGCGAAGGAGTTCAACTCACTTCACGTTAGCAACAAAGATGGATCCCAGTCAAAGGAAAACAGAGGGAAGGAATCCCAGGTTCCCAACAGCAGGGGGGAGGTTCCTCCCTTTGCTCAAAGAGAATTTAACATGTATACAAACGACACAGACTCGGACACTGGTATCAGCTCCAACCACAGTCAGGACTCGGAAACAGCTGTAGGAGATACGGTGCTGTTGTCAACATAATATGAATGGCTTCCTTCTGACCTGCTTTAATGTTGTCCATGTTTTTTTAATGTAATAGGAAACTTTATTTTAAATGTGACTTTCTGAAAAAATGTAAATCATGTTACAGTATTCAGTAGTTAATAATAACTAGAGAAATTTGTTCGTTTTTGATGTAAGATTTCCAACGGGGCTTTAATTATTACAGGCCCAAACAATGAACTGTTTATTAGGAATGTATTATAATAAATAGCTGTAGGTGTATAACACAGAAATAGTTTGACTAGAATTATATGACAGTCTCACAGCTCCTATGGAGAAGGACTTATGTAAACTTAAAAGCAATTCTCAATAGTACACGGTCAAAATATTCAAACCACACATGAAGAAGTAAAATTAAAATGTGTCATGATATCTTTTTTCAATACTGTATCATTAGAATTTTTAAATCTGTAAAGTACATGACAACTACTGTGTCGTAACTACGTTAATCCAAATCTTAGTTCTTTTAATTGATCCTTAGATTGTCCAAAAGATCACGTTTGTCACTTGCTGAACCCTTCTCCCTGTTTACATCCATACAAAGGGCTGCTGTTGGGACATGTATAAATACTGACAGGGAGTCAGAGGTATAGATGAGCCAGGGCCAAATGCTGCATACAAACAGCAATTTTTCTAAGAAGACTAAAATTATTAAGAGCTATGCATGCTTTTCTATCTGGCAATGCAGATCCTCTGATCAAATCAATATTCTGTGCAGGTTCATTCTTTGAGTGAGGGACAGTGTGGGTTAAAGATAAAATCAGTCATTGTTTGTTTATGCCACATCTACAAAAGTTGCAGTGATGAAATTTGAGGTCCTTTGTGTGGATTAGAGTT